GTTTCTAACTCTCTCTCCCTCTCCCTTCCTCTCTGTAAAAAAAAAAAAAAAAAATCAGTAAAAATATTTTTAAAAATAAATAATTCAATAAATAAAAAGTGCTCATTTCTGCCCTTCACAGATAAGACACAATGAATAAAAAGATAAGACACAATCTATAGCCCCTGGCCAGTGGATGGAGCATCGGCCTGCAAACTGAGGGGGTCCTGGGTTCGATTGCCGCTCAAGGGCATGGACCTTGGTGGAGGGCACATCCCCAGTGGGGGGCGTGCAGGAGGCAGCTGACGGATGTTTTTCTCTCATCGATGTTTCTTTTTTTAAAAATATATTTTATTGATTTTTTTATAGAGAGAAAGAGAGTTGGAAACATTTTAAATATATATATATATTTTTTTAAGGCACCTACAGAAAGCAAGAACCTTTTAAAAGATTTTATATTTTACTTCATATTTTGCAGGCACAACCCCACCGACACTCAGAGGCGCCAACAGGTGACAAGGTAACCTTTATGCAAATGTCGCATTTGACTTTCAAATTCCCAAGCAGCAGTCGTCGGCATTCTGCCCAGGAAACCTGCTCATGATGAAAAAAAAATAATAAAATAAAATGAAATGAAATAAGCCAGCCATGTGACGGGTTCCGACAGACCAATGATAAGGACGGTGAAAAGGTTATCTTCTTGCAAACTCCTGCTCCTATTTTAAAAAAATATATATATATATATTTTTTTTTTATTGATTGTTCACAGAGAATTATTATTTATTTTAAAATATATATATTTTTAATTGATATTTTACAGAGAGGAAGGGAGAGGGATAGAGAGTTAGAAACATCGATGAGGAGAGAGAAACACCGATCAGCTGCCTCCTGCACGCCCCCCACTGGGGATGTGCCCGCCACCAAGGTCCATGCCCTTGACCGGGAATCGAACCCGGGACCCTTCCGTCCGCAGGCTGACGCTCTATCCGCTGAGCACCACCACCCAGGGCTGGAAGGCAGGGCGGGGGTTCCTTGAGGTGGAGACAGGCTTTCCTGGCCAGGGCGGTGCCGGCTTGGCAGACAGATGTGGGGATCAGGCCTCTAATCCCTGTCTTAAATGACACGGAGGTCAGGGAACAGCCCAGCCTAAAGGGACTGTGGGGACTTGATCCATAATTAACGCCCGTCTCATTCCTGGAAACCCCAGGGCCAGCCAAAGGCCAGTGCCTTTTTTTAATTATTGTTATTATATTTGTACTAGAATTTGTACATGGGTGGGGTCCGGCCGGCCTGGCCAGGGGGCGGGGACGTGGACGGTCGGCCGGCCTGCCTGCCGGTCGGACTCCCGGTCGAGGGGACCCTGTGCCTATGAGCCTTTTATCCTACAGGACGGACACGGGGCGGCCGGATGATTGTGCGTTCAGAGATCATCACCATCTGGCCACTTAGTATAGATGATAGATAGATAGATAGATAGATAGATAGATAGATAGATGATAGATAAATAGATAGATAGATGATAGATATAGTGTGTAGAGATAGATAGATAGATAGATAGATAGATAGATAGATAGATAGATATAGACATGGAGATAGATGATAGGTAGATGATAGATGATAGATAGATAGATGATATAGTGTGTAGATAGATAGATAGATAGATATAGACATGGAGATAGATGATAGATGATAGATAGATAGATAGATAAATAGATGATAGATATAGTGTAGATAGATAGATAGATATAGACATAGAGATAGATGATAGATGATAGGTAGATGATAGATAGATATAGACATGGAGATAGATGATAGATAGATGATAGATAGATGATAGATAGATAGATAGATAGATAGATAGATAGATAGCTTAGAGGCCCGGTGCATGAATGCATGCATGGGTGGGGTCCGGCCGGCCTGGCCAGGGGGCGGGGACGCGGGCGGTCGGCCGGCCTGCCTGCCGGTCGGACTCCCGGTCGAGGGGACCCTGTGCCTGTCGTTCGCCTTTTATCCTCCAGGACGGACCCGGGGCGGCCGGACGGTTCTGCGTCCAGAGATCACCCTCCTCCGGCCTCTCGCTGTCGATGGTCCATCCATCGGGATTGTCTCTGTCCATGAACAGGAAACCCCCCAGACAAAGCGTTTCACACAAACAGAAGGTGTTCCGTTTTCATTTTATTTTTCTCTATAACAGAAATATCTCCCTGCGAACACTGGATGTCTTCGGGTTTCGTTGCCCCGTAAAAAGGACAACAAACGAACACATCATTAAAAAAATAAATCGCCGACAAGTGGGGGGAAAAAAATAAAATAAAAATAAAAAAGAGCCGAAACCGGTTTGGCTCAGTAGATAGAGCGTCGGCCTGCGGACGGAAGGGTCCCGGGTTTGATTGCGGTCAAGGGCATGGTTCTTGGTGGTGGGCGCATCCCCAGTGGGGGGCGTGCAGGAGGCAGTTGATCAATGTCTCTCTCTCATCATCGATGTTTCTGGCTCTCCGTCTCCCTTCTTCTCTGTAAAAAAATCAATAAAATATGTTTAAAAACAAACAAAACAAAACAAAAAACAAGTGTAACTACGTTTGTCTTGGGATGGATGGCACAGGCCCAGGAGTGGATACGGGGACACACGCACACATGCGTACATACGTGTGTGTATTCCCACCCAAGCGTGTATGAGGATGTATGCGTGTGTGTATTCTGCGTACGTGACGAGCACACGGCGGTTCACATGGAAGCGTTCCGGGTTATTCACATGCCCTGGGCTGTCTCTGTTTGGAATCTGTCCATGGACAAGTTACTGTTGGCTAACGTTTATTTTTTTAATTTTATATACTTTTTAAATGTGTTTTTATTGATTTCAGAGAGAGGGAGAGAGAGAGAGAGAAAAACATCCCTGAGGAGAGAGAATCATGGATCGGCCGCCTCCTGCACGCCCCCTACTGGGGATGGAGCCCACAACCCGGGCCTGTGCCCTTGACCGGGAATCAAACCCTGACCTCCTGGTTCAGAGGTCGATGCTCAGTCCCTGAGCCAGGCTGGCCGGGCTGGTTGGCCAGCACTGAGGGAAGGGACGGGAGTCCTGAGGCCGATGCTTGTCTCCGGGCCGGTGGGGGATGCCCCTGGGGGAAGCTTGTCTGCGGGGCCGGTGGAGGATACTCCTGGGGGAAGCTTGTCTCCGGGACCTGTGGGGGATACTCCTGGGGGAAGCTTGTCTGCGGGGCCAGTGGGGGATACTCCTGGGGGAAGCTTGTCTCCGGGACCTGTGGGGGATACTCCTGGGGGAAGCTTGTCTGCGGGGCCAGTGGGGGGTACTCCTGGGGGAAGCTTGTCTGCGGGGCCGGTGGGGGATGCCCCTGGGGGAAGCTTGTCTGCGGGGCCGGTGGGGGATGCCTTTGGGGGAAGCTTGTCTGCGGGGCCGGTGGGGGATGCCCCTGGGGGAAGCTTGTCTGCGGGGCCGGTGGGGGATACTCCTGGGGGAAGCTTGTCTGCGGGGCCGGTGGGGGATACTCCTGGGGGAAGCTTGTCTGCGGGGCCGGTGGGGGATGCCCCTGGGGGAAGCTTGTCTGCGGGGCCGGTGGGGGATGCCTTTGGGGGAAGCTTGTCTGCGGGGCCGGTGGGGGAGGCCCCTGGGGGAAGCTTGTCTGCGGGGCCGGTGGAGGATACTCCTGGGGGAAGCTTGTCTCCGGGGCCTGTGGGGGATACTACTGGGGGAAGCTTGTCTGCGGGGCCGGTGGGGGATGCCCCTGGGGGAAGCTTGTCTGCGGGGCCGGTGGGGGATGCCTTTGGGGGAAGCTTGTCTGCGGGGCCGGTGGGGGAGGCCCCTGGGGGAAGCTTGTCTGCGGGGCCGGTGGGGGATGCCTTTGGGGGAAGCTTGTCTGCGGGGCCGGTGGGGGATACTCCTGGGGGAAGCTTGTCTGCGGGGCCGGTGTGGGATACTCCTGGCGGAAGCTTGTCTGCGGGGCCGGTGGGGGATGCCCCTGGGGGAAGCTTGTCTGCGGGGCCGGTGGGGGATGCCCCTGGGGGAAGCTTGTCTGCGGGGCCGGTGGGGGATGCCCCTGGGGGAAGCTTGTCTGCGGGGCTGGTGGGGGGTACTCCTGGGGGAAGTTTGTCTGCGGGGCCTGTGGGGGATACTCCTGGGGGAAGCTTGTCTGCGGGGCCGGTGGGGGATACTCCTGGGAGAAGCTTGTCTGCGGGGCCGGTGTGGGATACTCCTGGCGGAAGCTTGTCTGCGGGGCCGGTGGGGGATGCCCCTGGGGGAAGCTTGTCTGCGGGGCTGGTGGGGGGTACTCCTGGCGGAAGCTTGTCTGCGGGGCCCGTGGGGGATGCCCCTGGGGGAAGCTTGTCTGCGGGGCCGGTGGGGGATGCCCCTGGCGGAAGCTTGTCTGCGGGGCCGGTGGGGGATGCCCCTGGCGGAAGCTTGTCTGCGGGGCTGGTGGGGGGTACTCCTGGGGGAAGTTTGTCTGCGGGGCCTGTGGGGGATACTCCTGGGGGAAGCTTGTCTGCGGGGCCGGTGGGGGATGCCC